TTTATTATCATGATGAATGTGGTGAATATCACAGACGATAATTTCAGTAAATATTATTTTGACTGTATACAGTAAAATGGAGTATGTGTTTATGTATTCACTTATTGGATCAAGTTTTTTGTTCGTTTCTTAATAAATCATGTCAATGGTTTTTAATTTGCATACAATAAACATTTACATCTGTTTTTATATATATAAAGTATAAAAAAATACTAAGTACATTTTCAGCTTATCGATGCTTTTTTTCCAATAATGCCCTGATAACTGTCATTATTGTTGTGTATAGTCCTATTGTTATCATCGTTTAGTCCTGTTGTTATTGTTGTTTAGTTTTATTGTTATTGTTGTATCGTCCTATTACCTTGCCTGTATCATCAAAGATGGAAGGGAAGGGTATATTAAGGGGAAAATATTATTGAATATAATAAGGCAGTTCATATTTGTCTCAGTAAATCATTAATTTATGACAGACATCTAAGATTTTCTAATATGTTTTTGAATCTATTCACATCTAAATGCAGCACTTTTTTTTTTTTGAGATGAGGCTTCTGTTTTTATACTAAAATATCTGAATTACTTTGAATAAAGCTGGAAATTATGTCCCTTAAAATAATTATAAACAAATTAGGCACCAATGTTTTTGTAAGATATTTACATCAATTAAGGACATTCGGTAGACTGCTTTCCCAATGGTGTTTCAATCCTAAAACTTGTTTTTATTCAAAATTAATTAAGACAATGCATATTCATATTGAAACAAACTATGATAAAAGAAATAATATTATACAACAAAGGGCAAGGTCACCAGAGTTCAACTATGTTCAACTACTGTTTTTTTGGTTTTTGGTTTTTTTGAGAAAACCATGTAATCGTTCGACTGCCAACTTCTGTACCCTTTGATAAATTGAACCTGCATAATCTTCTATACTTTTTTTTTAAAAAAATTAGCACAACCAAATTACCTGAAAACAATTATAGAAAATGTGGAACCCAAATTTTGGTGATATTTAATTATAGTTTGGTGCAGAAGGTAAGCATGACACAGTACTTTGGAACTACATTTCAACTACGACTAGGTCTCAGATTGCTGGAAAACTCTCTCAGATTGCTGGAAAACTGTTCCAGATTGCTGGAAAACTGTTCCAGGTTGCTGGAAAAATGTCTCAGATTGCTGGAAAACTGTCCCAGATTGCTGGAAAACTGTCAGATTGCTGGAAAACTGTCTCAGGTTGTTTGAAAACTCTCTCAGGTTGCTGGAAAATTGTCTAAGATTGCTGGAAAACTGTCCCAGATTTCTGGAAAACTGTCCCAGATTTCTGGAAAACTGTCCCAGATTGCTGGAAAACTGTCCCAGATTGCTGGAAAAACTTTCTCAGATTGCTGGAACACTGTCTCAGATTGCTGGAAAATTGTCTCAGATTGCTGGAAAACTGTCCCAGATTGCTGGAAAACTGTTTCAGATTGCTGAAAAACTTTCTCAGATTGTTGGAAAACAGTTTCAGATTGTTGGAAAACTGTCCCAGATTGCTGGAAAACTGTCTCAGATTGCTGGAAAACTGTCTCAGATTGTTTGAAAACTGTCTCAGGTTGCTGGAAAAATGTCTCAGATTGTTGGAAAACTGTGTCAGATTGTTTGAAAACTGTTTCAGATTGTTGAAAAACTGTTTCAGATTGTTGAAAAACTGTCTCAGATTGTTGGAAAACTGTTTCAGATTGTTTGAAAACTGTGTCAGATTGCTGGAAAACTGTCTCAGATTGCTGGAAAACTGTCTCAGATTGTTTGAAAACTGTCTCAGGTTGCTGGAAAAATGTCTCAGATTGCTGGAAAATGATCAGAGGGAATGTGATAATATATACATTAAGATTGCTCAACTTTTGCTTTGCAAAAAAGTCTTTTTGCTAGGGGGTCACCCTCTTAAAACTATCAAAAGTTGTCATAGTTCATAACTCCACATTGGAAGTTTCCTTACCCTATGGGTATATAGAGTTAGTCCACAGACAACATATTCTTGGGTGTCATGTCTTGGGTGGGGTACCCCCAGACAGAAAGATCCTGGAAGTACACTACCGGTGAAATACATATGGGGGAAAACGGAGCGTCCCCACCAGATCTGATGTATAAAAATCTTGAAATCAAAGCTGTAACCATAAAAGACAAAATCATAAAAGGACTTGAATTAAATTGAAAAAAGTGTATCACAGACCTGTGATCTCCTTCCAGCATTCTCTTTATGGGAAAAAAAGTATGAAGTGGTTCCCTTTTATTGTCATGCCCGTTACAGTTGAAACCACAAAACCTAGGTTGCATATCGATATGCAGATTATAAATCGTTGGACCTATGCTATTCTGTTTCACTCAGAAAGATTAGTGGGAAAGATAAAACCCATGTGTGCTTCTAGATGGCAGGGTTCTTTAATATGTTACAATTTGGGAATTTCCTTTGTATACCGGTACTAGCCATGCTAGATCATTGGGCATGCTGTGTATATGCAGTACATCGATGGTCAACATGATGGTGCATTATCTGTGCCTAGTGTTGAGGATTTAAGTTACATATCTTTGGAGAAGAGCATTAGAGGGTCGGCAAGGGGTATTTTCGTAAGCTGTAATCAATTGTTTTTTATTTTCGTAATAATGTAATAAATAAAAAAATCGTAGACATGGACAAGATGTTAAATGTAATCAGCTATTTTATTTGTCCGTAATTTGTACAAAGATTTTATTTTCTGTAAGCGTATAAAGCATTTTCCACACTAAATGTCGTAATTCTTACGCAATTTCCAATTTTCATTCTTAAACACAAATTATCAAGTATACTATAAAAATGTAATTAGGAATTTGCTTTGACTGTAAAGTTTAAAAACTTATTTTTTTTACTGTAAATGGAACTTTCCATCATACTTTAAAAACGTAAAACGGCTATTTTTATTTCCTGTAACCTGTATCAGCTATTCCCCCTTGCCCCCATTAAATGTCTTCCCAACTGTTGATCATGTTAGGTATGACTAGAGAGAATGGAGAGGTCAGAGGAGAAGAGGCGCACGTTTTTGTTACTAGTAAATAATTTACTAAGGGGCTCATTACCCTACTACTGTCTTAAAAATAATGGTAAAATGTGTTCCATTCGCACTGGTTATCCCTTGTGCACTCTCTCTATCCGCTGAATGGAACTCTCATATACAGCAGCTAATGCCCAATCCAGATTCATGGTGCATTGAATCGAGGGCCTTCTCGGGATAAAATTGAAAGGTGGAAATAATAAACCTGTCTCGCGGAACTTGAGATTACGAACAGAAAACAATGTATAATGATGTCATTTATTTTCATTACGTTGGACACAATCTGTATAAAGACAATAGTGAAAATGGTGATGCTATAATTAATGATATGAGGGAGACTGATTGGTTGAATAAACACTTTTGTATTGAAAGAAGCAGAAACTTTGTTCGGATAACAAAAAATGTAAAAAAAAAAAATGCATGCGTTGAAATGCTATTGCATGACTTTAATTCAGGCATGGGCAAACTGAGACCCATGTACTAAATCCACTAGTCCTCAATGAGTTAACTGTCAGTGAGAACCTCTAATATCCAAATATAAGTCCTAGAAATGTGGCTTTCTTAAAATTGTGTTTTCTGGTCGGGGTCTAAAACACAAAAAATATTTGCTTTTCCCACAATTCAGGCACCTTACTGAATCATCGTCAGGGACACAACCCCAAATATGTTTTATTACTTTTTAGTAATATGTAATTATTTTATCCATGAATAAATCACTTCACCAACAGAAAATGCAAAAATAATTAAAACAGCACAATTTGACAAAAAATTACTAACATTATTAAAATTACTTCATAATTATGTAATACTATCAGTGTTATCTTCAAGTTAGAGCGTTATGATGTATATTCCACTCATTCATAATCCTCTATTTTGTGGAGAAAACTCCAACATGCGCACACATTGTGGCATATTCATGTGATCAACCAGTTATCGACAATAAAACTAGGTGTAATTAAAGGGCAGTGGTCGT